AGCTTTTCTGTTTTAAAGGGTACAACTATACATTATGTTCATAAAAGAATGTTCAAGTCTTAAACATTAATAGTATAACTTGCAAGAGCTGTAGACTGTTGGTTCAATGTCACAATTAAAGAGCAACTCAAGCAGGTTTAGGTAACGCATGCGCGGATACTGCTTTGCTGTTTTTCACTTACTGCACCACACAAGCAAAATGGCGACTGCTAAGCGTAAAGCGTTTGTTGTTTTGGAAAATATTAAGCTTGAATCTGTAATTTCAGTTCAAGTTTAGTTGTGATCCACCATATGGCAAAAGCATCTGTCGATGGTATAGGCAATTCGAAGAGACGTGTTTTTAAAGGGAAAAGCATGGAATAATAAAAAATGTGTGTAGGGGATGTGGACTGTGTCAAAATATCTTACCTTTGTAACACCAAGAAATTTATAAGGAAATCAGGTTTTGAACTTCAGTTGTCAAAGATGACAGTTTGGAAGGTTTTAAGGAAACATTTACACATGCGTTGGTAAATGCTTTACAACCAAATGACTATGGTGTATTATTAAAGATTTGTTATGTTTTAACTTTGCAAGTGAAGTGTTTGAGCAGGAAGATTACTTTCTTGACCATGTGTTATTCAGTAATGAGTCAATTTTTATCAAAGAGATTCACCAAAATTAAAAGTTTTCTTGCTGTGTCCCAACGTCAAATGTACCAACTATATTATTTCGCTGAGGCTACCATAACATGGGTGGCTTACCTGGATATATTACAAGAATGGTTCTTTCATCAATAAGTAGCAAGTGAACCTGTTAACTTTATTTGGCAACAAGATGGATCCCCTCCCCATTGGAACATCTTTGCATAAGAGTGGTTGATCGTCCCTTACTGTTGGACTGGTTGTAATAGTAGTCAACCCAACAGAGCTCTTTTTTGCTGGCCTCCATGTTCACCAGACCTAATGCCATGTGATTTCTTCCTTTGGGGCTTTACAGAAGATTGTGTCTATGTTTTGCAGCAAATCTAATCATTTGTCAGACCTGAGACATAGAACTGAAGAGACTTCCTTCCATTACTCCAGATTTGTTAACCAAAGCGTGGGAAGAATTAGACTATAAGTTGGATGTAAGCTTTTTGACTAAAAGTGCACATATTCCACATTTGTACAAAAAATTACATTACTTTACCTTCAGTGTGATGTATGATTTGTTGTAAATAGTCTAAATTAACCTGTTGTAATATACTATTGAAGCTGGGACTTTCTTTTATGGATACCTTGTATTACTATTTCATTTCTTATTAAGAACTGGGTACTATTTATTATATTATTTTCTGTTTAATGCTATCTCATGGATAAAAAATTCTTTGGTATGATTTGTTGGATCTCAGTAATACTTCTAACTTTTCCCCATATGATTAAAGGAAAAAAGTTATGAATGTTATTAGGCATTTTCACTTTACATATGTAATACTATATCACTCTCCAAAAGTTATGGAACAGTATGCTAAAAACACCACTCTTGGCAGAAAAATTCAGTCTAGGAGAAACAGTACATCCCAGTTTTTTTCGAGGAAAAAACGTAGCAGGAACAAAGTAGTGCTTACCTAAGTTGACCAGCGAGATTTGTAACTAAATAAAATAGTTTAATCACTAATGGCAAATATCATATCCTTCCTCCTCCCTTATATTTATTTATTAACATGTCAATAAAATAGAAAATAACTATTTATTAATGGTATATAGTTCATAAATAAAACTAATAACTCAGCTTGTTGTTAATTTTTTAAAAATTCCTTTTAATTTCATTTCAAATTCAACTTTCCAACAAAAAATGGAGTTGGAGCCGATCTGTTTTTAGCGACTCCAGCTCCGACTCCTTTTACCCCAAAATCTCTCGACTCCACAGCCCAGCTTCCTAGTAGGGAATATTAAATCATACACATTTTATCCTGCATTTCATTTAAACTTATTTCCTTGAATTATTTTATCAGACATATATTTGTCATTCAATTAATTCAGTTCTCACTTCAAGGCAAGGGAAAAACATATAAAAACGCAAAATATCTTCATTAAAAATGGGAAGACATAGAAAAACATAATATACCAAATGCAGTTAAAACAATTAAAAGAACAATTTTTACAATTAAAATTGGAGTTTCCAGACAAAAACAAGCAAATTGGCCAGCCTGCAAGAAGGCAGATATTTCAGTGCACAAAACTAAAAGTTTCCTTTTAGTCCCACTCAGCAAAAAGACAATGAAGGTGCAGAAAGACTTAATTCACTATTCTGCGAAGTTTGAAATGTAAACAAATATGGCTGCTGGTAAGAAAAATTAGGCTTAGCTGCACTTAACAACTTTTAAATTGTTGATAAATCTAGAACTACTACATGCAGATTACCTAAACCTACAAAAACCTTAACCAGAAAATAAGAACAACATTATTCAATCATTTTTAAAGCAACAAATGTCTAATTTACCAATGTACAAGAATAAAAAAACAATTACACGTTATAGCTATCCTATATACAAAATTTCAATGCTCTGAGGCTACTCATTTTTGAGTTACGTGAGATACATACATATGTATGCATAGACACCACAAGAAACTCTTCTGAATCCATTTTAAATCAGATTTATAATTCATTTGGGGAAAAAGAGTTCTTTATTATGTCCTTATGTACAGATGTCATGCAAAAACATTGCATTCGATAGAGGTTGAAATATTGTATCATACCTAGAATTTTTCATGAATAAATACTTCCTTTACTTTGTACAAGGAAGTAATAATAAAGAGAGAGATCTACTTATTATTGAAATTGAAGAGATAGAAATGGTTCTGTAAATGCAAAGAAAGTTTTAGTACGGGATTTATGATTGTCACAGGATTCTCTTACAACGGAAAATAAAAAATAATAAGAGTGGTAAAAAATGTTGAAATTAACATACTATCAAGAGAAAGTTTTATTCCAATATTTACAAAAGAAACTCCATTTCTTTATCCCAGTGCGAAACTTCATTAAGACAGAGACACATGTCAAACTTCGAAAAGTACCACTGCATTCCTTGGGGGGTACAAAGACTGATACAGGTATTGCATATACACCTTTTCAATACATCCCTACAAAATGCCCTGATCTTATGAACTATTATACCTTTGGTCTCTCGAAAAGAGCTCTTTCAAAGTGCAAACTCACCACGATTGATAAATTCTAGAAAGCAATGGAAGAGAAATGTAAATCATAACTGGAAATTTTAAGAAAATTTCTTTATCAAGGAAACCATGACGCAGACTTACACTCCAAGAAAAAGGCAATCAGATCAAACATTTAAAAAAGTAATATTAATCTTAAACATTACTTATATGGCTCCAAAATCGCTCTAAAAATGCATAAACACCCTCTGTAATTTTAGGACCTTTCTTTGGTGTGCATATAATAACTGGATTTCACGGTGCTAATTTACAAACTGAATTTTGGATTGATGTGTTCAAAAAATTAATAGAAGCATAGCTACTTTTATTTAGTTATCAGATTTAGGCTACTTCACATATATTTTTTTTTCTGAATTTCTTAAATATTCCACAATTCAATCATAGCATGATTATGAAAATAAAGTGTAAAGTTAATATTTAAAGGCCATCAATGTAATAAATGTTTATGCAAATTAATAATAAATTTGGCAAATTTCAGTATCTACTATACAAGTTAACACCATTTCACACAATTAATTGTTAATATATGTTATAAATCCTGACATACTGCCTTTTTTACTAAAATTTTTCCAATGTAATAAATTATATTAGATAATTTTGCTTACTTAAAATTCAAGATATTTGAGATTAGTCTTTTCAGTACAGACACCATGCATCGATTTTTAAATTTTCAAATCTGTATTTTTTAGTTACTTTACACTTAACTGATCTTACTTTCACACACTTCCTTAAAGAGGGATTACTAAAATTTGCCCCAGTAATATGAAACTATGATACATCACCTAACTACAACACAAATTAAAAAAGTGTAGTATAACTTACAATTTTCTCAGCAAATCATTTCTTATTTAATGTATACTGAAGCTAAATATCAGTTTTTCTAAGAAACATTTTTATTACATTTGAGTTGAACTAAAATTTACAGCTTAAAAAATGATCAAAAATAACATTTTAACCCATAATTAAATTTTAACTTTTTTTTTGCACACCCAAGACTACACTTACTGTTACAGATATACTGAGTGGCAACCTTGAATAAAATTTCTATCAGAAGATAGAAACAAGCTTATAAAAATCTAGCATTTAAGGAACGCAACAGCCCTTTCTTCAATTAAGGAAGTGTTGCAATTTTTGTGCAAATTTCAGCACATTTTTAGAAGGGGGAAATTTACAGGACAATTTAGACAAACTATTAAACTTAAATGCTAAAATGAAAATAAAAACAAAAACATCAGGTATATTAAAAAAAAATAAAGCTAAGAAACCATGCGGATAATCACATGCAAAGAACATAAACAAAAAGTATAATGATAAAACAAAATTTTTAACAGGGTTGCCACTCGTCCTATTTGGATATTTAAAAATTCAAAACACCTCCAAATATTATCTAAATTTTTTTATGTTACTAAGCAGGGTGGCAACACTTTTTTAATATAAATATAAATAATGGTGAATTCAATCATTCAGTTATATGAGGCGAGTGACAACCCCAAATAATTATTATAAAACCCAATCAGATTTTTGAAAATAAAGTAAAAATAATTACTTCTAAAACTAAGCATAATTTTTTACTTTAAATATGGGTATCAAAAAAAAAAAAAAAAATTTCACAAAATATGTCCCTTCTATAATTGGGCAGCTAGTGCATATTTAAAACAAATATTTTCTTGTACATTTATAATATAAAGGGTTAAAAAATGAAACTATAAAAAACATGCTAGAATATCTAAATTGCCCTTAGAGATTCAGATTTTTTTTTTTTCCCTTTTCTTAATTTAAGGTATCTTACATCCCAACACTCACTTAGTTGAATCAGTGGCTACAAAGTAAACATCATCTGGGGCATCCACCCAACTGATCATTTGTTTGCGTCCACCCACTCGAGTGATAGTAGCCATCTTAGCCCGCCCATTCAGGGGGTTGTTCACAATCGAACTCCGAGCAAGGGAACTCACGTGGAAAATGTCAGGGCTCGGCTTGATTACTCCTCCACCAGAAAGGGCTCTTCGCTTCGGCGGGACTGCCACTATAAAATAGAAGGAAGGGTTTGTCAGTTGGAACTAATAATTCAAATAATGATTCAAACATGATATAATATAATAACTCAAAAGAAAGAAATTAAATTTAAAAGTTTGTATTAATTTTACGAAATAAGCTAGTCGCATTTTATACACACTGATGATATTTTAGGCACACACATTTACGATAATTTATATTACACATATAAACAAAGAGGAGAATTTTATACAACTTAAACGTGCTTAACAGTAAATCTGGTACGATTGAGATTTTCTTTAACATAAACATTAAAAAAAAAATATTAACAACTGACAACTAGTTTTACAAAAGCAGTAGAATTTTATTATTGAACTGCTTTACAGTCTCCCTTGCAAAATTTCTCCAGTGAAAATTTCATGCAAATTTCAGAAATTTAAATTACAGTCACATTATGTTTGAGGACAGCAAGATACAGTGAACAGCCATAAGGTTTTGAATAAAAAGTAATATTTCTTTTCTGTATAACTGATTTTACATTCTTTTACAGATTTTTCACTTCCAAAAATTCTCATTATTAACTCTCATTAAATATATCCAGAAAAAGCAACATGAACAGTAACGATACTAATATAAACTTTTCATAGATATGATATATTCTGTTTTACAAATAAGTAAGTTTGCAAACATTAAACCAAGTTTAATTTTTGAGTCATTAAAATATTAATTTCATGTATCAGAAATTCAAGCTGATAAGATATCTCAATCATTTAAATATGTCATTTTAAAAATCTAATATGGAATGAAACTGTGTTAAAATGTAGGAAAAAATGAGAGAGTAATTTATCATCACATTAGAACTAAAAAGCACCAATCTTAAAGACATGTACTAGCAAGACACACCACGTTTTCTGATGCAGGCATCTGATGCATGATGTTATATACCTTAGTAGATAATGCTGATTTCAATAATGGTATTTGTTCTGGTATCTTGATAGTTTAATCTAGAATACTTTGTAGCATTTGCATTTCCTTTACATAGTAATATAAGAATGTTAAACCAGCAATTCTTCACAATAAACATACACTCCCTTATTGTGCCAGGAAAGTAATGAATTAATAATGCAAAACCTACAACAAAGGACCATAATAATAACTGGAGAAAATTCTAAATTTTGCTCATAGCTTTTGTGCACTTAAGTTTTACATAACACAATAACAATAATGTTTGACTAATCATGTTAAAAATAATAATAATAAAAAGATATACTAAAACAGTATGTGGTACGTCGTATTTTAAAGCTGGTATAGTATTTTAAAGCTATCACAAAATTGCTTATATCATTAGGTATGGAAGCCAGTTTTCCACAATGCAGTTATTTGGGTATGGACGAACCAGTTTCAAACTAAAAATTAAGAATTGATAAGTAACATGAAAAATATGTTAAGAAAACCTAAGCTTATATATAATTTTGATTAGCGTTATTAAGACAGGAACGAAACATTTCGAGGAGCATATCATTATTTATTAATGTAAAAAAAGTTTAAAGAACCGTAACTTATTTTGACAAAACGTAATAATGTGAAGCAAAATACATACTTAATGATATACAAACAGCCCTCATTAATTCATCTTACTTCCAACAGCCATTGAAATATCAATTACTGTTAACTCAATATTAAAAGTACAAACAGCTAAGTGCCTTCACATTAAAAAGTTTTGAAAGCTACACAGCCAGATGCTAATTTGAGAGGGATTGGTCAGCAAATACAAATAAATTTAAAAACGATGACTTGATAAAACTACTGTATTTCCTTCCATACCTCCCCAATTTTTACTAAATTTATTGTCTGAAAATTAAGAAGAGAAAATTATATGGAAAGGTGAATATTTACATATATTAAGTATAATTGTTGCGTTCTTACGGGGTTGTGAATTTGGAGTGATTGACGACAACATTTGATGAAAAATGAAAACACAATTTATTTAGCCAGTATTATTTCGGCCACATTTATAGTAGTCAAAAGTTATGGCAAATACGCTGAAACAATCAGCAACACAGCCTTCGGGCTATAATGGTGAAGACAGTTTCATGGCAGAGTACAGCTCCCGACTTGGTTCGATCGTTCTCGGAACTCAACATACTTTTAAGACTCTCCATGCTACAACTCACAATGCACTTGACGATACACACTCTCGATGCACTAACTCGTGATACACTGATGAGAAACTTGATGCACACAACAACCAATTCAACACTAGACTGCTACTCTGCGTACACACAGGGTTTATATAGCTTTTTTGCTTGCCTTTAAGAACATTCTGGGCCAAACCAGCAAGAATTCTTTCTAGAATGTTCTCTATTCACCTATGGCACATCGCCAATTTTGTTGCCAAATGTCATCAAGTGGGCGATTTTGCACCAAATCTGGCAAACCTGCACCAGCCCTGCGGGGAAGCCATCTTATCGCAGTTGGACATTTCCCAAAAGTATTTTCATGCAATGTATCTGAAAACAATTATGTGTTACTTAATAATCCACAATTAAAGTAAATAAAACATCTGCTTTTTAAAATAAATACAGTTAAATGAATAAAGAGGGTTTTATGCCCAAAGTATTACATTGAATAGGTTTAAGATGACATACCATCTTATACCTTATAACCTAGCACATTCCTTTCACTTTTCACTAATTTTATCATCCAAAAATCCAGAAGAAAAAATTATACGAATAATTTAATTTTCATAGGACACAGTTACATTAAGAGCATAACAAATGACAAGTAAACATAAATACATAATTGCCAACCCATGACACTCAAAAATCAGAAGATTTTTTACAATGTTAAAAATACTTTTTAAATGATAAAAAATATAGTTTTTAATAATGAATTAACTTTAAATAGTTACTAAGTCTTAAATGCAAGCAAAACACAAATACCTTAGACATAAAAACGTTTTTATTACTTGCATCGTTAAAAAAAAAAAAAAAGACACTTTAATCAGTTTTTATACAAATGTTATGGACAGTGGCAGATTTTGCTTTCGTTAAGAAAGGAACTTCATAATTTTGTTCACAGCAATTGCCACGTAGGCCTGCTTTCGCTAATAAAAGTTTTTCTAATGTGTCATCACTAATATTAGATCTAAATTTAGTACTCGTTTTCGCAACAACACTAAAAATCCTCTCACGCTCCGCATTACTATGGGGAACTGTCAAGATGGCCAACATAATTCTAGAGAGTTCACTATATTTTAAAATTCCATCAGCACCTTTCAATTTTACAATTAAACTCCACTGGGTGTCAATCCTAGCTGATTTATAACTTCATCCAAGTTTTCTAACTGTAAACTGGAAAATTGCGACTGCAGTATATCAGTAGCAACATCAATATCGTCATCTTTCATGACTAAACGAAGTAACACAGGAAATCTGTTCAAAAAGTACCTTATATCAGAAAAAGATGCATTTGCTAGAGCAGAAACATCAGCAACTTTAGCATGCAAAATCACTTCATCGTTGACTGGAAATTTAGTCGTATGTAATCACATATACTCGACAGAAGTAACTCCTAGCATGAAGATAAACTTATTTTGTCTTCTTCTGAAAGTTCTTCCACTACTTTTGTAGTTGCAGCTCCTATTACCAAATCTTCATCTTTCTTCTGATTTTCTGTTTCACCATAAATCACATCATATATAGATTACAAGACAAAACACAGACTGGTTTTACAAACTTTGATAAAATGTCTTAAAACAGATCATAAATCATTGATTGCAAAACATGAATTAATGGAATTCTGCTTTGTAGAATTGCGTTAAGAACATCGAATGATGGCAAAATGAATTGCAAAGAAAAAGCAAAAAGCTTTGTTAAGGTCCGAAGAAAAAAACATAAATATTCGTTCTTCACAAGGTAAACTTACAATAATCGGAAAATGTTTCGTGTGCTGAGCAATTTGTATCAGCTTTAAGCTTATATTTTGCAGTATTATTTTGAGAACTGCCAGTTGAATTGCTGAATGATGCAGAATTTTTCTCAAACCTATTTTTAACAATAGAAGTAGTAACTACATCTCCATTTACTTTAGGTGCTTTATAACTTTCAATAGAGCCTTTTATCTTAACTCTCGAAGCATTTACTTCTTCTTTAAAAAATGCAAGAAGTGGGTTCCATTGATCGAGGATTCTAGATAAGCATTTCTTTAAAGACAGCCAGCGGTACACACAGTTTCAAAATTTTTTCTTATTTCAGTATTATGCAGCTGTTGGAACTGTTTCAATTTTCCTTCTTTTAGAACTCCTTTCAAGATAATAATAAATATCAACATGTATTCATCCACATTTAATGGTAAAGAAGCTGCCCCTTTTTCAGCTGCTAAATTTAAGAGGTGACAGGTGCACCTCATAATCTGCAAATCTGAATTTGCCTTTCTTAAGATGCCTGCAACACACAGTCTTCAAGCCTACCATTACTGGTGCACTATCGGCACAAGTGCTAAGCAATTTATCCAGAGGGACTGCATTTTCTTTTAAAGTTTTAATAATTAGCTGTGCTATATAAAGCCTGTCGAATGTCCTTCTAAAGTGGGGAGAGAAAGTAAACTGCACTCAACTTCTGAAGACTCTGGATTAAAAAAAGAAACAACAATTGGATACAGTTTTGAATTGGTATTATTGCTTCCATTCGTAGAGAGGCAGAACGGAGCTGTTTTAATGCAATCAATAACTGAAGATTTATTTTTCAAATCCATTTCTTTAATTCTTTAACAATTGCACCTGTTTTGGTCCTTGCACTTGAGTATTTCTTAGCGATTTCACTATCGGGAAACATTTTTCTAAATAAAGCTGCAGCGTGATCCGATGCATTCAGTGGCAGGTTGTGCTCCAGTAAAAAGGCAGAGAACAGACATTCTGCATTAATCACTTTTTGGTCCTTTGTTTTTTTCGAGAGAAAAATTTAATTTTTCGTTTTTTTCAAAACAACTCATGTTGTCCTTGTGTTTTGTGTACGCACATGTTTGAGAACATCTGCCCTTCCAACCAAGCGAAATCGAAAAATCGCAACGGCAGATGGTACACATCGCAAATTTATTACATTTCTTTGAAGAAATAATGGAAGGAAAGTCAACTGTGTACGATTTTTGAAACGTGCACGAGTATTTCACCTTTCTCGCAGACATAACAAAAGACGATAATTTCTGAAACTACTTCCCAAAGGTACGTGTACTCACACAACTCAGGACAAGATGAACGAAATAGCGAAAGAACATCCAAATAACGGCCAACGGCCTTGAGCTTGCTTTGTGCTCATTGGCTAATATATGCCAGATTACACGCAGTGGAGCTCGATGCCCATTGGAGAACGACGTTTCTGGATACGTATGCTGTCACTCACAAAGCAGAAATTCTCATCTGATTCGCAAGGTTTTTTTTTAATATTTAATAGAGAAATTCAGTTGCTTTCAGATGTCCAAAATCACTTTTTTTTTTGTTCATATAACGAAGTATGAAGCCAAGTTCCATAAAAATCGTGAGAAATATATTGTAAATCGGGTTGGCGGGAGAGCGGTCGAAAATCGGGAGTCTCCCGCCTAAATCGGGAGAGTTGGCAACTCTGTAAATAAATTACAGGTAAATAAAATATATTTCAGTTTTGTAAAGATATTAAACATGCCAAATATTACTTAGCCTGGAAAAAAGATTTAGTTTCCGAATTATTCAGATCCAAGATTTCTAGGAATGCACAGAAATCGTACACACAGAAATGATAAATTAGTGTTTGAAAGAGAACAGAGAGAATCAGAGTTATGAAATTTCAGACTTGTGTGACAGAAGGAGTAAATTTTAATGAAGACAATGATGACAAATGAGGGGAAAAATTGAAGCTGAATGAAATGTAATATTTAAATTGAGTCAAAAATTATGAAAAGCACAGCCAAAATGATAATGTATATGCTTATTATGAATAACTAAGGTGTTTCAATGATTTAATAAGAACAGAGAGAAGCTCTAATGCAAGATTGCCAATATCTTTGACCTAGTTAATTTAGCAAGTGATTGATCATGACAATCATCCTAAAATATGTCTCAAACATTTGGAAAAATTCAGTTTGTTTTAATTTTATTTCTTTTCTTTTTGATCTTAAAAATAATAGTTCCTTATAAAATATTTTAACTTTTCCCACTGCATGCTCTTGTAATGCTACTCCTAACTGCTAAAACATCCAATGATCCAGAGTTCAAATCTTTGAAAGTATAACCAATTCTTCTTTGTTTTCTTGGCTTTGGAAAAATTCTAAATACTCCATAGTGGAGCCTAACTAAAATGTGATAGACAATAATTCATCACCACCTGGATTTTGACCCAATGGGTTTGTCTTCTTCTTTTCCTGTGAATCTTCAAGTGAAAGAAAAACCTTCTCAGAAAAAAACTGTATTCTCATGGTATAATATATAGCATGTCCAGCTAGTAATCAGAAGAGTCCTAGACATAAGAAAATCAGAAGACAGAGTTAGAATCCTGGCAAGGGCATAGCTGTTTTTTCCCCCGTTTCCTGGCTTCAAAAAGTCTAATGTAGACACCACGACTTCTGTGTATGGCTTATTAAATTATACAAATTTTTTGTTGCACTACATTTAAACTTACTGCCTCAAATTATTTTAATTAACATATCCTTCAAGGCAAGTTGAAAATGAGATCAAAAACTGCAAATTTTGAAATTAAATAACCTAGTCAATTTTTGTTGCACATAAGTCAAACTTTTCATAATTTTATTTTTCATAATGAGTATAAAACTTCCCAAATACAAGTACAGGAACCAGGAGACCAAATTAAAAGTTAAGATTTCAGATTTCATTATTTGTCCAAAATTAACTTTTTTTTAAAAAATTTGACATTGCCAAACATGAATATTTTCATCATTTAAAACATTTCTGTAATTGGAAGTATATGACTACAACCATCAACTGTGAAAATAAAAGCGGTGGGTGGGTACACATATATACTGTCGAGTCATTAGGTTATACAGATGCAAGAACTTCTAAAATCTGCAATTCCCTCACCGGAATTTGAATTCCTGACCACCTGACACATACGAAAAGAAGGGAGAAAATACTATATATATATACTTCTGGTACTACCAAATGCAAAAGTAAAGGGAGTTGCACAACTACATGTTAAAGCAATCCCAACATTCTACAGCTAATCTTTTCTGAGTTATGCAAGATACATATGTACACACAAAGAAATCCATTTTATTATCCTTTTTGGAATAAGAAGTCCCTTATTCTGTCCATATTCACAGATGGCCGCCTCCCAAAAAAGAAATTAATATTTATGCTTAAAATCTGACAACTGAAATTTTTAGTGAATATAATAATTCTCTCACTTCGTATAACGAAGTAAAATTTTCTAAATAGCTTTACAGTGATCCTCAATTAAAATATGGTAGGTGATGATAAGTCACTGTCTCAATTTTGACCAACTAGGTTTCCTTCTCTCCTCAGTTACCCTTTACGTTGCATACAATATAAATAGTTTTCCTTTTTCTCAGTGACTGTTCTCATAGTGTAATTAAAAGCTCATATAACTAGCAACTGGGAAGATTCAGAGTTCGAATCTTGAGTAAGGCGCAACTGAGTTTTTTCAGCTTCCCTACTTCTTCAGATTCTAAATAGCTTCACTATGAATCATGAGTTAATACTCATGACACATATATTCACAAAATGCCAGCCTTATAACCAAAAATAGCATTAAATTTTATAAGCCAAAACCTCAGTTAACTAACAAAATTAAAAAGGAACTTCATGACTTATAGTATATGAATACTCACATTAATTTTACATACACATGGATATTAATTTTTTCTTGCATATGTTTGGTGACTGTCTAAATTTCTTATTTTACTAACTTTTCATTTTAACATGCATTTATATTGTTAGATTAATACTTGCATATCACTATTTGTATATCTTGTATTTTTTTATATGTACATTTCATTCAAATACAATTAAGTGCATTTCAGTCAAAAGACACTACAATTTAAATAACTTAGAAAAAATTGATAAAAATTACCATCAACACCATTTTGTTGTTCATAGCCACGTTTGCGTAGAATCGTGGGTGATGCACTAGCAATGCTGGGAGTCAAGCGTACATTATTTTCTTCCATATCCATTGGGTGCTTAGGAATGGAAAGGGAACCATCTATACAAAAATAAAATAAAAATCAATTGATAAATACAGAAAATTTAATATAACAAATAAAAAAACTCCCACCATTTAAAAATTTCATACCTTCATTTCGAGGAGGTGGAGGAAATGCTTCTCTTTCAGGTTTTGGTATTTTATCCAATGGAGTTGGTAACAACCATTCAGGTGGAGGAAGGTTCGGAGTTCCCAGACGATGAGAAACATCAACTACTCGACCCCTTTCATGAGGGCCTAATTTAGGTAAATCTGGCTGACCTTCAACTAATCTTGTGTGATCTAATGCAATGATATACATATAAGATACTTAAAATATACAATAAACTTTAAAAGAACATGCACATAAACATCACTGCAGAATCAAATTGGAAGAGAAACATATCATTGTAAAATTTTAAATAAGGCCAAAAAATGTGTAATTTTATATATATTTGAGAATTTTGCTGATGACAGCTAAAAAATTAAGAGCTCTAAAATAATAAAATAGAATTTTACTTAGTTTATTTTAAAACTTTGACTTAAAATTAAAATTTGAAGGTGACATCAAATGACACAATCAACGGCCGATTAATTACAGCCATGTATGCAAAGGCTACCTACCTGCCATACCATTCATTGCCAAAGCAAATATATTTCCTTTTAGCTTTTCATCAATCAGTTTTTTTTTTTTTTTTTTGGGTGGGGGTTACGAATTTATTTTAAAATTGGGACAGTAAAATAAAATCAGTAAATACATTCTTGAACATCTCTCTACAATTTTGCACAAGAAAAGCATAAAATTTTTCCTGTTTTGAGCTAAGTATACTATATTCAATATGCTATCAGTTTGTGCTCTATAAAAGCTCCATATAAAAGGTTACATTTTATTTTTACCTAATTTCTCTTCCCACTCTGAAATTGCTATCATAAAATTCTGTACATTAATTTAAGAATTTTTGCAATGGCACATAAATGTCTGAACCTATACCTAAGGAATTAAAAACACATAGTTACCTTTTCTTAATCCTCTGCATGGACTACATATACAATATTATGAAAGAAATAATACAAGGTTTGTGTACATTTCTTTAAATGGAAATTGCGGATAAAAATTACAAGACATATCAGTAAACAAAACTGAATAAATTTAAGCTATAATCTATATAACAACTCTTGCAATACTTATTCCAAGAATAAAATATAGGTTTGTAAGATGCTATACTATGAAACATAAAACAAGTTTGAAGAGAAAACTAACTGCCTAATAAATAGTTAATATTAAATTGTGAATCTAATTCCTTGAAAAATTTACATTTTCCATTTCTAACAGTCCCACATATTTTAAAAATGACTAGCAGGCTGTGGTCAAAGCAAAATTTATAAGTTCTATGTATAATTGAATAGAAAATGCATAAAAATATCTCAATATGAATGAAATGTTTTCTATATATTTTAATAACAATAAACGGGCTGCATGACTTCATAATATATTTTACTCCACCTCTGTTTAGAAACGGTGAATGGCTATTTAAAAATTCCACCTCATAACGTTCTTTTATGCAGCATTCCGAACAGCAATGAAGTTCAGTAAAAAAAAGCCACTTGTAGCGTGCGAAATTAGTAGTTTCAGAGTTTTTCAGAGAGAGCAGAACTAATATCTCAGCTGATTAAAGTTGTTAATAGTTGAATAGTTTCGTACAAATTTTTGGAATCTGACAGTACCTCTCTCGAAACTCGACCCTGCTACTGTTCCGGAGGAGATATTACAAACAACAAACAGATGCACATAGATTTTAATAGTATAGATATACAAGAACATTTAAAAAAAAAAATTATTATTTTGTTTAATCATTCAATAAAAAGCGTCATTAAAATCAAATGAAAAATTTCACTTTAATTACAGATACATAATTTATTCCACTGGTTTCAAAAAGATAGCAGAACAAATATATAAAATATGTAACTGCAAAATATTCGTGTCTTTTTAATCCGATTTTTTCCCCTTATTTTTCTTCAATTTAACTACTTTTCTAAGCTTATTTACTTTAATAAATAAACTAACGTCCTTCCTACTCACTACATCCACATGCTCAAGTGTCAGCTGATTTCTTTGAAGAATTTCATTCTGCTTTACACAATGAATTTTTTCTTTACCTCTGAATTTTTCAATTTAATAAAAAATCATGTTGGTCTAAAAGCCACATGTATTTAAAATGTGCAAAAGAAGTTGCTAATCTTATTTTAGTAATTTCAATGCCTGATGTATGATCTTTTGTTTAGACCACTGGAAAATTTCTGGTTGTACTAATCAATGAATGGGTTAGCATGACTTGCATGAAGTTTGACTTTCTTGCAGGCCATCTTTTTCATCAGAGTAGAATAGCGTAAAGTCAAGGTTAAGTCCAAAACACTTTTCTCCAACATAGACAGAGTCCTGTTGATAAAATCTTAGTTAGGCGGGCAACCAATTACGTGTTTCTCATTGCTCACAAAGTTAATTTGCACTGCCTCTATTAGCAGCCTCATAGTTTCGAGTTCTGTATTCATTCAAAAAATCAATACACACACAATGGAAGCCATAAAAAAGGAATGGAAATATTAGGTGAGCAAAATTGAGGACCATATACAAATTTTGGTATAAATTAAGGCTCAAAAACTGTAAAAAAAAAAAAAAAAAAAAAAAAAAAAAAAAAAAAAGGGGGGGGGGGAATAACAGTACTAACTTTCTAAATTTATTATTTTTATTATATTTTGACACAGTCAAACTCTTTGTAGCAAAACTTTAAAGAAAGCAAGCAAAATTCTTTCTATTCGTAAATTCATTATTTTACTTCTCGATTATAACTTAAAATTAACTTGTAAATGGTCAAATTTTTTGTTACAGTGTTCTAAAATATAAACGTTAAAATACCTTAACTTTACTAGAATTTAAAAAGTCTCAAACTGTAAATGAATTTGCTTCAGGAGAACTTTCACCTGTCACAAAAGCTTATTCTTGATTACTATGATACATATGTTTATCAAATCAAAATTATGTAATAATCTTCAAAATATAGATACATCCTTTTAATAATTCTAAAATTTTATTCTCTAGTATTCGCCATATTTATATATGTTTTATTTTATATACACTGGTTGGTTATCATTAACTAAGGAAAAATCACAAAAATCACGATTACTCAAAAAGTTACCTGTAGAATTTATTGAAACTGACAAATAGAATATGTATAAAATAAACAAACAGATGCATCAGTTTGGAAAAGGAAAATTACCTTCAACATGGAGTATGATCTCCCCTAAAAACAATACAGCACATGCAGAGATGTGTGATGCTGTCAATTATGTGGTCTATCAGTCCACAAAAAGTGAGAGTCATTGCTCTTGCAAAACAGCTACGAGCATGGCAAGGGTTTCAAGAGAAGGATCGACAGAGGCTATGCATCTTCCTAAAGCATCCCAAACATGTTCAGTTTCGAAAGGTCGATTTTTCAGGTTCAGGTCGAGCTGGTCGTTCCATGCGCTGAATTGTTTGCTGCTGAAGAGAGTCATACAAGATGAGAACTATGTGGTCGTCCTATATCAAGACATCATCAACTATTGCCTCGGCATAAGGTCATACATAAGCATAAAGGATGTCATCTCTATTCTGAGCATTCACAGTTCCACGTGAAAAGATGTGGAGATCTGTGCAATTCAAAGAAATACCACCCCAAAAAGAGATGCCTCCTCCATATGGGATCTCTTTCACAGAGGTTTATTGATGATAATGTGTTCCAAATTCTTTCTAAATCAAATAAAGCCTACTATTATCCTCCCATGCTTTGGGAGCTAAACCTGGGAAAAACACATATGTGGGGGGGGGGGGAAACCCTCTGGTGGACATGCCTGCCTAAAACCTTCCTTTCTATGATGTGACATGAGTAGCACAGAAAAGGCTGATTGCCACGTGTACAGAACTCCTTCATGAAACACTTTATATACATTTGACACTGACACTAACCTTCTGGTGGCTGCAGTAAGGGAGGATCTAAATTGAGTCATAGTTGCATAACAACAAATATCAGCCATTGGCACTTGTCATAGTGGTTAGCCATCCTTGGCTGAATCTGTGGTTAGAAATTGTTGCCAAAGTATGTGAACTACAGAAAGATTCACATTTAGCCATCCTGGCCACTTCCAGCAGACTTTGTTCTGCCTTTAGTCTCCCAACAGCTCTCCATCACAGTTTTTTAGGTAAATAATGGCTGGAGGCCATTGTTACGAACTAGCTATCTCAGATTTCTTATCTCAATATCGCAGTAAATTAGCCCATGCATGCTCTCCAGCATGCAATTTTATGCTCTTCGGAGATGATATATTCAGATTGCAATGCCACAAATTTGCATACTGCAGTTTTACTCAGCAATTTTTATTTGACAACATAATGAAATTTTATATTGATAGGCTTAATTTTTGAATGAGTTATCACTATTTTTGTGATTTTTCCTTAATTTTTTAATACTTGGCGGTAATTAAAAAAAAAATCACTAAAATATATCATGTGAAATGCATTTAGTTTAAAATAAACTTTTGCTTTTACCAAGAGATAACACTTTAGAAAGTTGATCTTATATTCTGCCTATAATTATATCAGATGTGTCATGGAAAAAAAGATGATGGCAACTGCAACAACCAGTGACTTTTTCAAGGAGTCAAAATACATTTCAAATAGGTCTGCTTGAAATTCATACAACAAAGGAAAATCAACAGATAAAACCACAAGAGAAATGCAACTATAAAAATCATTGAAATTTAAATAAGGAAAGAAGATTCGGTACTTTCTGGTTATCACCACGAAAAAAAGAAAGTTTTCAGATTTTATATTACACTCAAAAGGGCATTTTTTTAACGTTTTGTGGGTTACATTTATTTATTAAATATCCCTTTCTTCACACTTAGACCATAAAATTCAGTTCAACAGCAATTATTATTATTTTATTATTAAAATGAGCATATCTTTAGAATTTATGATACACGGTGTCGTGCACTGGAGATTTTTTCCTATAGTGGTGCCACTGTTCGCTTTAAAATCGTTGAGTTTCTTAATCAAAAATTCGTTAAAATCAAAGTTTTACAAATCATGAAATAGATAATAAAACAAATTCCAAAATTCGGGCTTCCAGATGCCCATATTTGGGTGGAAATGTACATTATTCAAAATTTGATGGCTCTAGGTACCGTAGTTTTATCACAATGCAAGAAACATACATAAATTTATTATCTTCATTATTTAATTTTTTTAAATATAATATAGGGCTTTA